CCACCTCCTGAACCCTATGCAAACTTAATTTGGTGTTGTTCTGAGTCGTCGTTAATTTTTGGTGATTTTTTGTTTTTTTCTCTCATTGAACTCTATTGAACTGTCCGTCCAATGCATTTCAATGAGAGAAAAAACAAAAAATCACCAAAAAATTAACAACGACTCAGAACAACACCAAATTAAGTTTGCATAGGGTTCAGGAGGTGGGCTAACGATTGCAAGCATTTAAAACAGGTTTCAAACAGTTTAAGACACTTTTACAGGAGCGAAAAAGGGACATCGTTAAGTGAAATTCCCCCATAGAGAACATCGTTAAACGATGGGGGAAATTCCTCAAAGAAACCCATCGCTGTGTGAATTCGTCGTTGTATGAAGCAATCATTGTGCGAGGCACCACTGTACTTTGGTATTCCATTGATAACAGGCTGTTTGTGCCTGGCAAAACTTCACTGAACATTATATTAATGTATTCCAGTATTGTGATGAAATCAGCCCAATTTGGTTAAGTCACTGAACTACTGTGGTATGGACGCATCAGAAATATCATTTAGAGCAGAATCTTAACATGTCCAATTCCTCAATCTTTATGGTGAATTTTATACTTGGATGCGCCATACTTGGCTGCCTTACTATACCTAGTAAAACTTCAGCACATTACATTTTAATAGTAATACTCACAGTGAATATCCTATGACCAGTCCTATCAAACACGACACAGTATACTGCAGAAAGATGACCAAGAATACGTCTGTGCATCTTTATATGCTGATACATGTTGCCTGGGAATGAAGAACTGGATCCTGTACATCCGGTCAATTGTTTTGCGTAATTCAGTTCCACTAGAATCGAAGTTAAGAACATGTAATAAGTACTTTGGGTTTTGGGGGGTTTTCTAAATAGGAATAGTGCTCTGCATCAGATCAGACTTCCTTCTCCACCCACGTTCAATACTGTCTACTATTATATAAAGGAATGTTTCAGAAAGAGTCATAACTCATTTCCATCACTTACTATCTGGCCCTTTTTAGTAAGTAGCCCAAGAGTGAATCTGGAATCTTCTGCTTGTGTCACTTTTGTGTTATCACTGAGCTGTGATGCATCAATTAAACATCCTCTTTAAATAGAAGCCCAGACAAAGTAACTAATGCTTAATTTTTTAGTTGTGCAAGGTCAATTCTGAAAGTTAAGAATCTATCTTCTCCATTTCTAAATGGCAGGACACCAATTTAGGATGGTTAAGGTATTTTTACTAGCAACTGCAGCATCATTAAAAACATGCAAAGCTTGCAGCAATAAAGGAACGGGACTGCAATAGGATGCACATGCTTATCCATAGTTTCAAGCAAATCCCAGGATGCTCTGTCATTATTTTCAGAAAATCATTGTTTCAGGGACATAGACTTCTTCAAGATGGAGATGGTGTACCACTGCATTCTCACATCCACATGAAGCAAACAGGAAAAAAAATCCCTCTAAAGCAGGGGTCCCCAACCAGGACCGCGGAGACAGATCTCCCACCCCTCCCACACAAGTGTCCCTCTCTCCTGTGAGCACAACCCGTCCCTCCACACATGCACGTGAGCGCACCTCGCCTCTCCATGAGCACGCCCCACCCATCCATGCATGCGAGCACGCCCCCACCACGCAAGCGCACACCACCCCGCCCAACTGGTCCGTGGTTCAGAAAAGGTTGGGGACCACTGCTCTAAAGTGAACCTATCTGGTTTTCCAACAGGAGAGAACTATACATCAAGAGAGCAAGAGATGGGCAGTACTGGTTGTAAACAATTTACTAGTGTAGGATCTGAGTTTTGGATAAGGAATAACTGGGGAGAGAAGAGAAATGTTGATGGAAATATACAATATGTAGCTTGCTATAAGAGTCCTTTATTTCAACTTAAAAGATTTTAAAGCAAAATTTGTCACGCTATATACAATATACAAATAATCTGTCACTATTCCAAATATGTAGTAAAGAATGTATTTTCAATTCTTATGTTACAAGTGTTTGCCTCGTATTCTAAGTTTATGTACACCATAGACTGTGGCAGAACAGATAATATGAAGTTAACTAATCAAAAGTGGGAAACCAGTGAGAATACAATATTAACAATGCAAAGATACACTCACCAAGACTTGGCACCTTGTCACAGTTAGCAGGCATTTCAGGGGGTCTTCCTCTATGAAGGGCTGCAATGACTGAGCCTTTTGAAACAGTGTTTCTGCAATCTGCGAAGTTCACATTGTACACAACATTATTTATAGTGTCATATAACAACATTCCTGGGGGGAAAAATATCTTTTGCACACAAAGATAGACACATAAATACTAACTTTAAATTGAGTTCTAAATAATTGAATTTAATTATTTGAAAGAACAGGATGGATAATTTAAATATGTGTAACACAACCTCTTGAAATTCAGATCAATAACTACCCGTAAAATATACAAAAAAATTAAAGGGCAATTAATTAATTGGGGGAGTCTTTTTAAGGTCAAGTATTTTAGCTATGGCACAATACATCAAAGATTATTGGTGTCAACGGTTTTTTATTTCGATTAGCAGTTTTTCATAAAAAGTGAATCCTAGATGCTGACTGCAGCAGATTTTATTCTGCTGATCAATAGAAGAATCACTCACTGTACCCATCTGGGTGATGCTCTATGTTCCTGTTTTTATCCTTTTGAATTGTAAAAGCTCTACTCATTGTCAAAGCATAAATGCTTCCTCTTCATTACATGAACATAAACAGCTCTGTCAAGTAACGCTATCAGCCCCTTATTTTTAACAATCTCTGATGCTTTAGTTTTCTAAGGAAGCAAAGATACAAGTATAAATAAGGTGCAATGAGTTCTGCACTTGATATTTCTGGAGCAGAAAGGGGACTGGGACAAGAAATAAATTATGCAATGCAAGGGAAGATCAAAACAAACAGAAACCAGAAAGATGAATATTCTACTAGATAATGCAAATAATCTGTTTAGTTGAAAGCTCATATTTTATTAACTAAATTAACTTAACAGTATGCATATTCTTTTACTTCCTGAAATAGAAATTAAGACATTGACATTTTCTCATGGGTCTTACAAATTATCAATTTAAACGAATCCACCCTGACTCAAAACACACCTAAATCATGAATGAAATAAACTGACAACAGATTCTATTCTATGCATTCCCCAAGTAATAGATTTGTTAATATATAATGCTGAATACAGGACTGATGAACACAAAATGCTATTTAAGGAACTGGAAACAAGCTACAGGATTATCCTGTTACCAGCCTTCATTTCATGGAATGTCTTCAAGTGCTGCATAAGAAAACACTCTAGAGATTAGGTTAGCTATTGTTAATGATAGTGGTGGCCCTATCCAAACCAAGATTATGGAAAGGAATGAATTCTATATTGAAGGTAAGTATGAACAAATATTAGCTTGCTCTTTCACAACAGTTAAACTGTTATCCCAGCTCTTAAGAGGGACTCAGTAATAACCAAGAATACTTCAAGTTATCAAGTCCACAGTCAAGCATATATAACTCTCTATTTGGTATTTTTCTTTTTTCAAACACAGAAATTACTATTTTAACCACTGTTTTATTTATGGGAAGAAAGGAGCTATTTGTAAATAGAATTCAAGGTATATTGTACATAAAACATATAGAATATGTGCACTGTCATGTCAGAATTTAGAACTTCTAGGATATGAACCTCAGATTATACTGAAATCCAGGGTATCTATAATTGAGCAGCTGAACTCCAATAGCAATAATAATTAGAGTAGACCCAGTGAATCAATGGAACTTACATAGCTGTTGACAAACAATCCCCACTGTTTTGATGGAGAGTCAGCTGCTCCAGAGGCAATCTACTACAGTGGTGCCTCAATTTACGACCATAATCCGTTCCAGAATATGGGCATAACTCGAAATGGTCGTAAATCAAAGCACCATTTCCCATAGGAATGCACTGGAACGAGATTCATCCGTTCCAGAAAAAAAATACCAATAAAATAAAATAAAAATAAAAACACTGCAAGCCCCATAGGAACATGCTGGGGCCAAAACACAAACACACCAAAATACACACACACACAGAAAAAACCACTGCAAGCCCCATAGGAATGTGTCAGGGCAGGGGGAAAAATTACCAAAAAACAAAATAAAACAAAAAACCAATGCAAGCCCATCGGAATGTATCAGGGACTATTTTTTTTTTACCAAAACCAAAGACACACAGCCAGCCCCATCGGAACATGACGGGGCTGGGAGAAAACACACAAAAACAACCCCACACACACAGAGCCAGCCCCATTGGAACGTTATGGGGGTAGGAAAAAACATACAAAAACAACCCCACACACACAGCCAGCCCCATCGGAACACACCAAAACACAAAAAACATCACAGCACACAAACATAACCCTCCCCCAACCCAACTGCAAAACAAAGTAAATGTACTTACTCAGGAGCAGAAAGCAGCTCCAGGCAGTCCGAAGCCTCCTCTGACGCACTCAATCTACCGTTGGGGCAAAAGAGCTACAAAGAAGCAGCCTCTTCGCCTACCAACGGTTAGCAAATTTGAATTCCCCACCTTTTTTCCGGTCGCAACTCGAAGCTCTGATTGCAAGTCAAAGTAAAATTTTGCAGCCGGAGCTGGTCGCAACTCGAAATGGCCATGTGTCGGGACGTTTGTAAGTCAAGACACCACTATACTAGATTTCAGCCAGTACATTCAAAAGTGATGTGCGCTAACAGCATATATTAAACTGGCCACAAATTCAGGCACCCTAGTGTGTGAAGCTGAGATATGTATGTTCACTAGAGCTTGGAAAATGTATTTCAAACTACAACTCCCAGAGACCCCCCACTGTTGGGAAATTCCCCACTTTGGGGAATGGTAGTCCAAAAGTTTTTCCAAGTTCTGACTTTCATGTATGCACAACTCGCATGCCTTTAATTAGAAATCAACACACAAAGTCACATAAAAGTTCAGAACAGACCTTTTGCTGTGCGCAGCAAGGACTGTTTCCCTGCTCCTAGCAAGGAGTTCACTCTCGGAATGCTAGGTGGAATTTCCTTATCCAGTATAGGGCCAATCCGCTTGCAAATTTGCAACAAGTGATCTGGAGCCACATGTTTGTTAGATAAGACCTAATACATGAACAAGAGGAGAAATAAATAAAAAATAATTAATAAATTATAGTATTTCTATAGCCTAAATATTTTTAAATTGTTTATTAATTGTACAAGCTGTGATCCCTAGATCAGGGATTTAAAATTTACCACATAATATTTTAATCATTTAAAGAAGCAACTCTAATTTGCTTCAAGACAAAAGCAGCCCTCTAAGAAACTACTGGAATTCATCTCACTGTTATTTAAGATTGTTTCATAAAATCCTGGAAAGGTACTTAAACTAAATTTGTTCTCATTAGGTTAAAAAGTAACTTTTCCAAATGTAAAACTACATTTTACCATCAGTGCTATTAAATTCCCCAATTTTAAACACGTAATCACTGCAGCTGTTAAAAAATTGTTTCATGCTACCCTGATGTAAATTGGTACATTCTCTAAGGCTACAATCCTAAACCTACTTACAGTGGAGTAAGACTGACTAATAATGTGACACCCCATTAAACTTGTAGAGTATTTCACTGTCGGTTACTTCCTTGCTGGCAACTGAATGTAAATACTGTTTCATCTTGGAAAAGGCCCATCTGAAAGATGCATGATACTGCTTCCATCGCTCAAGTTAGAAAGTAACAGCAACTGTCAAAGGTAGCTGTATCATGCTTCTCAAATATTTTTGAGTTAAATTAACAGATTGATAATAATACATTCAAAAATCCAAAACGAGAAAACAAAACTCAGTTTTGGCCAATTCTGAAATTTCAAAAGTATTTCCAGCAATTTTTGTGCAAAGTTTTTTAAAAAAAATGCTAATACTACTGTATCTATACTATCCATTATCTTAAATCTAACCACTACATACATTATGGGCTTTACTTCTCCCACCTTCAAACATGTTTTCACATTACCACAATTACTTATTTGCACAACAATCCCACAATTTTTTATCAGAAGTAAACCCTATGAGGTTTAGTAATATTTACTTCTAAGTATGCATAAGAGTACTGATCTAAGCATTTTTATCTGAAAAGTCCAGAAAATTCAATGACTAGCATCTTCACACTTTAAAGTCTATTATCGTGTTATATTTGGTCTGTAGAAGAATTCTGTAGGACTTGGAAGCTCACCTGTTTTGGGTATTTTCATGATCTAATAAAAAATAATATCCATCTTTTTTCTGGATTGTATACTTTCTAACTTCTCAAAAGAAAATACAGTAGTGCCTCGCATTACGTTAATTCGTTCCAGCGAAATCGCTGTAGAACGAAAACATCATAATGCAAAAATAAAAAACCAATTGAAATGCATTGAAACCTCTTCAATGCATTTGAATGGGCAGGAAACTCACCATCCAGCAAAGACCCTCCACAGGGCGGCCATTTTTGGTGCCTGTCTTGCAAGGAATCAGTCTCAGAAAACAGCAGGGAGCCATTTCATTTACCCAGTGGCTATTTGAAACCGCGGATCAGCTGTCCGAAAATCTTCATTTTGTGAAGAATCGGTTCCCGAAGCAGGGAACCAATCATCGCAAAGCGAAAAACCCCTATTCAGACCATCGCTTTGCGATTGCAAAAAGATTGTCGTAATGTGGTTTCATCGTTATGCAGGGCAATCATAAAGCGAGGCACCACTGTAACAAATCAAATGTCAAATCCATTCAAAAGGGCTACTCCAGACTTCATAAAAATTATTATCCTAGATGCAATAACTTGGAAGTAAATTGCACTGTACTGTGTGCACCTACATCTCAATAATCAAACATAAGACTGGACTATAAATGAAGGTTGATTACAATCGGTATTCCTTTTTAAAAAAAGACATACAGTGGTGCCTCACTTAACGACGTTAATCCGTTACGGAAAAAACATCGCTAAGTGATTTCATCGTTAAGCGATTTTTAAAAGCCCATAGAAACACATTAAAACGTGTTTAATGCG